CCCAGCCATCTTACCAGCTATTAGGAATTGTGGGAGTTGAAGTCAAAACATCTGAATGACCAAAGTTTACCCATGCAAACTAAAGAAATACAAATCACCATAGGAAAAACCTAGACTCTTTGATTTTGTTGACAAATAACTAGAATACCTGTGTGTCAGCATACAGCAAAGAGGGCAAGGGTCACACCTGTTCAGCAGTTCATTGACAAAACTGAAGAGTATTTTGGCTACACTATCCTTTGTAATGTATTTGGGCTGGAATTTTCCCTGCTCTATAGGGTCTTTATATGATAGATCTAGATCAGGCAGGGGCGGCTCAACCCATTACGCAAAGTAAGCATTTGCAGTATAGTTGATTTTGCCCAGGGGCGCTCTTGAAGGAAAATAGACCTTGACATATGCGGGTTTAGTTACTGGGATGTATAGTTCACCTACAATCAAAGAGCATTCTGAACTCCACCAATGATGGAATTTAACCAAATATGGCACACAGAACTCCCACAACGAACAGAAAATATATATCAGTGATTTGTTTGGGGGGGGGGGGGCAAAATACTGTTTGCTTACTGTTGAAAATTACCTAGGGCCACCTCTGAGATCAGGCATGGGCAAACTAAGGCCCAGGGCTTGGATGTGGCCCCCTGTGTGCTTAACTCAGGCTCTTCTCATTTTCCTTGTCCTCTTCGCAGAAAGACGCCGCTGCATCCTTATGCCAAAGAGATGGAGGAGGAAGGCATGTAGCATCTGAAAGCCCTCTGGAGTACTATCAGCCACTATGTGTCTCAACCTACTCCTGGCATAAGGACAGTGCGAGCAGCCCCATCTTTGTGTCGGGAGGACAACTCGAAGAAGGCACACGGTAGATGAGAGCCCTCCAGAGCACTCTCAACTGCTGCCTGTCTTGCCCTCCTCCCAGCACAAAATAGACATAATGTGCCAAAGGACATTTTGAAAGTCCAGGGAAACATTTGAAATTATCCTGTCCATTGGTTGATTTTGCATCTTGTTATGTCCATGCACTGCCTGACAGAGAATGACAGCTGACACTTAGTGGCTTGACTATAATATGGTTGCCATAAAGCATCTACTTGTTTTTATTATTGTGTGCCTTCAAGTCGTTTCCAACTTATGGTAAAACTATTCCATGGTTTTCTGAGGCTGAGAGTGTGTAACTTGCCCAATGGGTTTGAATAGTTAATTGGTGAATTGAATCTTAGTATCCAGAATCATAATTCAAACCACTGCATCATGCTGGCTCTCACAAATAACATACTGGTCCTTTTAAAATCTAGAGTAAAGCTATAGAAGTCCATCAGGTTAACAACTGCATTTCTTTCACATATTAGGAAGTTAAATACGTGTTTGGGTTTCTATCTTCTGTGGTTTTAATATCCGCCTTCAATGTATTTTAAAAAAACAAAGGAAGAAAACTTCTCATTTCTTGGGTAGCTGAAAATCCCCCAACGTTATACACAAGTAAAACTGTCACAAATAACACTCTTAATTGCAGAAGTCAGCTAAAATCAGCTTCTTATTTAGAAGAAAGGTCAGCTTCACCAAGACCAAAGGTGTTGCCTGGGAAGATATTACTGAAACAATTTCCTTTATCAGCAAATTTATCTGGGACAAATGTAAGGAATGTCTCCAAGATGTACAATAATGTTGTGAAATTCCTGCCTCAGGGGAAAAATGCTGCTAGTTAGATGAAACCTTTTACAAATTACTTCTTGTAAGTTTGAGCCACCATGGTGTAATTATTTAAGCACTGGACTAAGATTCTGGAGATGTGGATTTAATTCTCTGCTTGGTCATGGAAACCCACTGAATCAACTTGGCAAGTCCCATATCCCTTGAAACCCCTGCGATAGAGTTGCTTTAGGACAGTGGTTCCCATCCTGTGGTCCGTGGACTACCAGTGGTCCGAAAGAACTAAAATATGGTCAGCGGCCTCACAGTTATGACACTGTTGCAACAGGAGCGACTGGCCTCACAAAAACCTCTTATAGTGCCGAAGCTTATTAAATATAGTTTTCTGTGGGTGAACAGATGGTGACCACTGGATGGCATATGTTCTGTATCAGAAACTAGAGTTGATGTGGTCTATCCAATGCAATTTTCTGAATCAGCACCCCAAATAATCAAACCAAATCTAAAGTTGACCAAAAACTGATTCGTACCCCTTTGGTACTAATGTTGGAGAGTGTTCCCTGGTCAAAAAAGGTTGGGAACCACTGCTTTAGGATAACCGTAAGTCAGAAGACTTGAAGACACACAACCACAAAGCATTAACAATTTTATAGTGCAACAAATATTTTGCATTCTCCATTTTGCTGTGGCAATTATTTGTTCCTGTTCTAGGAGCATTCCAAATTATACAAATATACTATGTGAGTACTAAAGCAGTATGTCTGTTTTGATCAGTAATCCCATTGTTGAAACAGGGGAAAAGTCACTTGAGCAACCGTTCTGTATACATTTCCCCAGACAATCATTCTGAATTCACCCAACATGACTTATCTTTTAGCTAGACATTGGGTGCATCTACTATGTTGAAGTAATGGAGTTTTGACACCACTTTAATGGCCACAGCTCAATGCTAATGAATCCTGGGAATTTTAGTTTGGTGAGGCATCAACACTCTTTGGAAGAGAAGCCCAAACACCTTGTAAACTATAACTCCTAAGGTTTCCTTAGCATTGAGTATCAAATTGCACTAATTCTACAGTGTAGACCAGGCATGAGCAAACTTTGGCCCTCCAGGTGTTTTGAACTTCAACTCCTACAATCCCTAACAGCCTACCAGCTGTTAGGAATTCAAATCCCAGAATCCCATTTCCTTGTGCCAGGACAGTTCAGTTGGTGTCAAACTGTATTCATTCTACAGTGTGGATGTAGTCCAGTCCAAAACACTTGGAAGGCGAAAGTTTGTCCATGCCTGATGTAGTCTATTTCTCTCTCGGCACATTTCCACCAGGCATAGGCAAACATTGGCCCTCCAGGTGTTTTGGACTTCAACTCCCACAATTCCTGACAGCCTACTAGATGGACCACTCTAACAACTACCATGTCAGACTACACAGAGCAGCCACTGAAAACGACAAGCACGTGGACAATTTCAACAGAAAGAAACCTTGAACATGAACAAAATCTGGCTACCAGTATTTAAAAAACTCTAAAATCATAATGGTAAATAAAGGACAACACCCAAAACAGGGGAATTCCAGACAGGAAATAATCAGAGCCAGCTAATCATCTCCCAACAAAGGATTCCCCCAAGCAGTAAGAAGCACTACCATTGAAGGGAGATGTTAACAAGTGGGAATGTGTCCAGAGGACTAAAATGATCAAGAGTCTGGAGAACAGGCCCTATGAGGAGCAGCTTAAAGAGCTGGGCATATTTAGCCTGAAGAAGAGAAGGCTGAGAGAAGACATGATAAGTATGTGAGAGGAAGTCATAGGGAGGGAGAAAGCTTGTTTTCTGCTGCCCTGGAGACTAGAATGTGGAACAATGGCTTCAAACTTCAAGAAAGGAGATTCCATCTGAACATTAGGAAGAACTTCCTGACTGTGAGAACTGTTCAGCAGTGGAACTCTCTGCCCCGGAGTGTGCTGGAGGCTCCTTCTTTGGAAGCTTTTAAACAGAGGTTCGATGGCCATCTGTTGGGGGTGCTTTGAATGCAATTTTCCTGCTTCTTGGAAGGAGGTTGGATTGGATGGTCCATGAGGTTTCTTCCAACTCTATGATTCTAAGCCAGACCTTGAAATTGCTAGGCCATTAAATGCTAATTGAGGTGGCCAATTGCAACATTCACACCTACCTCCAACAGACAAGAGTTCTTTCTTCCACCCTGGACATTATTTCACAGATATATAAACTCAGTTTTTCTAGTTTCCAACAAACCTCACAACCTCTGAGGATGCCTGCCACAGATGCAGGAGAAACGTCAGGAGAGAATGCTTCTGTAACATGCCCATACAGCCCAGAAAACACACAGCAACCCAAAAATTCTATGTTTTCTGGTGGTTTTGGGCCACCCCTCTGACACCCCCTTGCGACCCCACCCTAGGGATCACGACTCCCAGGTTGAGTAATGCTGGTGTAGACTAATATACAGTGTTCCCTCACTTATCATGGGTGTTATGTTCCAGGACCACCTGTGAAAAGTGAAAATCCGCAAAGTATATACATGTATATCGCATTCCAAGGGTGAAGCAGAAGGAGGAGAGATTTAAAGGCATTTTTTCTTTTTTTATATATAGCTAATAACCCAGCCTACTGGCTGTTAGGAATGGTGTAAGTCCAAAACACCTGGAAGGCTAAAGTTTGCCCATGCCTGAACGACACTGTAGAGTGAATGCAGTAGAATGGTGGGAGTGGTCATTTGACAAAGTCTTCTTCAGCCTTCTCTGTCAGAGTGCTGGCGCCTCACTAAACTACAACTGCCAAGGTCCCATAGCATTGACCCATGGCAGTTCAAAGTCAAAAGTGCATCAGTTTTCTCTTTCTTTTCTTTTCTCTCTCTCACCCCACCCCCTCCTTCCTTCCTTCCTTCCTTCCTTCCTTCCTTCCTTCCTTCCTTCCTTCCTTCCTTCCTTCCTTCCTTCCTTCTTTTCTCTCTCTCTCTGTTGACTTTTGCCTCTCTCTCCTGCCCTGGCCATTCTCCTTCGCCCCTGGCTCCCCGCGTTACTTCCTCGCCGCTTATCTGGAGGCCAATCTCGGCGCGGCAACACACCCGACCCGCCGCTCTCCGGGGACTTTCAGGGGAGCCCCGGGAGGGGGGGCCCACGCCACGCAACGCAGCCACCCCGGAGCCTCCAAGGGCGCGCACAATGGAGCGCGCACACGGCCCCACTTCTCCCACCGAGGGGAAGAACCGAGCCCTGGCAGGGCAAAGTGGCAATTCCTCCCAAAGAGAGAGAGAGAGAGGCACCAGGGCAGCAGCGCCCTTGCAAACTCTCTCCACGCAAAGGCACCCAAGCCTTCCGAAGCGTGACTGTACCTGAGGGGCGAGCGGCTGGGTCCAGCGAAGTCCGGCTCCGCTTTGCCCGGCAGCCGGGAAGCAGCCGCAGCGTAGGAATGGTAGGCTGTCAGCACCACGCCGCCCGAGTCCGTCACCTCCATTGTCTGTCACCGGGGGCGCATGGCTTCCTGGAGGGGGCTTGGCTTTTGGCAGAGAGGGAAAGGGCGGGGGAGGGGGAAAGAGGGAGAGAGAGAGGGAGAGACCCTCCGCTGGGCGCCCCGAAGCCCGATCTTGGGGCTGAGCCTCTCGCCGAAACACCCCCGAGGAAGCCAGTCCCAGGAAGGCCCCCTCCTTCCCTCCGCAGAGAAAGAAAGAAAGCACGCAAGCAAAAGCGAGCCGCAGCTCGAAGGGAAGGAAGCGCGAGCCTGGAAGTGGGTAATCCTGCCTGCCTGCCACCAAGTCCCCAAGAGGAACACAGCCGAACTCTCTCCTGACCTCTCGGGGACTTTTTTTTTGTCCCCTCGCCACTCCCCCGGCGCCACTCGCCGGCCTCTCCAGGGACACCTTTTAAAGAGCGAAGGCACCCCGAGTCGCGTGGCTCTTTGGAAGCCGAGCAGACGAAAAGTTCACCCAGGGAGGCAGGAATGGAGGGAAGTTCTGAGAGTGCCTTGGACCGCCAGAAGATCCATCCAGTCCATACTTCAGGAAATAAAGCCCGACTGCTCATTGGAGGGAAGGATAGTAGAGGCCAAGATGAATTTATTTATTTATTTATTTATTTGGGGTGCTTCTACCCCGCCCTTCTCAACCCCCTAGGGGGGACTCAGGGCGGCTTACAAAAGGCACAATTCGATGCCCGACAATTCACAAAAATACAATATACAAAATTACAATATAACGTCAACAATTATAACTAATTAAAACAATCAAACAATACAGTCGCAGCAATAAAATCATATTGTGGTCAGTGTTCACCAATTCATAAATCCATGATCCATTTAGCATTGTCATTGCCCTTTCCTACTCTGGTCTTCATTGTCTTTTGTCCTACTGCCAGCTTACCCGAAGGCCTGGTCCCACATCCAGGTTTTTAACTTCCTTCTGAGGGAGAGGAGGGATGTTGATAACCTAATCTCCCCAGGGAGTGCATTCCACAAGCGAGGGGCCACCACCGAGAAGGCCCTGTCCCTCGTCCCCACCAGTCTCACTTGTGATAAAGGTGGGCCCGAGAGCAGGGCCTCCCCGAAAGATCTTAAACTCCGAGGTGGGACGTAGAAGGAGATACGTTCGCCAAGATGAAGTACTTTGGCCACATCATGAGAAGAAAGGAAAGCTTAGAGAAGACAATGATGCTGGGGAAAATGGAAAGAAAAAGGAAGAGGGGCCGACCAAGGGTAAGATGGATGGATGGTATCCTTGAAGTGACTGGATTGTCCTTGAAGGAGCTGGGGGTGGTGGCGGCCAACAGGGAGCTCTGGCGTGAGCTGATCCGTGAGGTTACAAAGAGTTGGAAGCAACGGAACGAATGAACAACAATATTCTTTGAACTGGATTATATGAGTCTACACTGCTAGATCATCTGGGATCAGATCCTGGGATATATGACAGTGTAGCTAGGGTGTTATCACACTAGAGCAGTGTTTCTCAACCTTTCTAATGCTGCGATCCCTTAACACAGTTCATCATGTTGTGGTGACCCCCAGCCATAAAATTATTTTTGCTGTTACTTCATAACTGTAATTTTGCTACTGTTATGAATTGTAATGCAAATATCTGATATGCAGGATATATTCTTATTCACTGGATAGCTCAAATACCTGATAGGACCAAATTTGAATACTGGTGGGTTGGGGGGGGGGGGGGGGGGGGGGGGGGTGAGTTTGTCAATTGGGAGTTGTAGTTGCTGGGATTTATAGTGTCAGAGGGATCACCAAAGACAATCAGAAAACAAAATATTTTCTGTTGGTCATGGGGTTTCTGTGTGGGAAGTTTGGCTCAATTCTGTCATTGGTGGGGTTCAGAATGCTCTTTGATTGTAGGTGAACTATAAATCCCAGCAACTACAACTCCCAAATGTCAAGTCTCTTTCCCCCAAACTCCACCTATGTTCACTTTTGGGCATATTGAGTATTTGTGCCGAGTTTGGTCCAGATCTATCATTGTTTGAGTCCACAGTGCTCCCTGGATGCAGGTGAACTACAACTCCAAAATTCAAGGCCAGTGCCCACCAAACTCTTCCAGTATTTTCTGTTGGGAGTTCTGTGTCCAAGTTTGGTTCAATTCCATCATTGGCGGAGTTCAGAATGCTCTTTGATTGTAGGTTAACTATAAATCCCAGCAACTACAACTCCAAATTGACAAAATCAATCCTTCTCAACCCCATTGCTATTCAAATTTGGGCTTATTTGGTATTTGTGGCAAATTTGGTCCAGTGAATGAAAATACAACCTGCGTATCAAATATCAGGTATGTATCGTCGATATTGCAGTCCCAGGCGACAGCAGGATTGAAGATAAACAACTGGAAATGCTGACACGATACAAGGATTTAAAGATCGAACTGTAAATACTCTGGCACAAGACTCTGGCAGAAGCCAGTAAAAGTGGTCCCAGTGGTGATTGGCACACTGGGTGCAGTGCCTAAAGAACTTGGCCTGCACTTAAACACAATCGGCACTAGCAAGATTACCATCTGTCAGCTGCAAAAGGCCACCCTACTGGGATCTACACACATTATTAGGCGATACATCACACAGTCCTAGACACTTGGGAAGTGTCCGATGGGTGATCCAATACAACAGCTAGGATTGTGACCTCATTCGCTGGCTACTAATCTTGTACTAATCTTGTGTTTCTAATCATCATCTTCATCATCATCATAATCATCATCATCTTTATTTGTATTCTGCCCTATCTCCCCTAAGGGACATGAACCTCAGTTCACTGTGCATCCAAAGGTTCACTAAGAAATTTAAAAATTGGCTATAGTAGCCATAATATCCAACAGTACCGGCTGACCTGCCAATGAGTTTGAGATTATTTCCTCATATATTAATTTCACCTCTCTTCTATTACCAGTTCAAGATGATACCTATTCCAATGTATGCTAGCAGTATTTTTTTGCTCAGTCATCAGCATCCATCCCAGAACACACAAAAGGGAAGAAATAGTAACTGCCAGAATACCAAGTATATAACTCAAAAAAGTCCATAACAATGAAGCAGATTTTTTTTCACCCATCAAAATTTAACTCTATGATGAAGTAGTGCTTACCATGCACAAATAACAATTCAACAACATGAATAAAAAAATAAAAACTTACAAAGATCCAATGGGTAACTGAAGAGTCCAACATCCATACGCTTTGTGTCTGAAACACTTTACATGTGCAAGCTTTTTCAGGGTTAGTCTGCTCACGTGATAAGTTATTTATACGTATTAGAGCCATTTCATAGCACATAAATGTCACGTTTCATCCCACGCCCACCACCTTTCACAAATTAAGAAAACAAGAACAGATTTTGTGGTTTCTGGTTTTCAAGATTGTCCAGCCACGTGGCTCATGGCTCAGAAAGTTCACAAGGAGGGCAATGGTCATTCCCTATTGTTCCTGACATCTTGTATTCAAAGTTAGATTTGAGGTCCCATAGTAAAATGGTACAGCCTAACTCTTTAGCTAAAGGGATTGAAAATGCAAAAGGCACCATCCAGAGGATAGACCATAACCTGAAACTTTTTGGATTATCTATATCTATCTGTATCCACAATAAAGGTGAAAATATATATGAATGTGTGTGGCCAGGGTGTCCACTTACACAGACAGGCTCCAACTTCCACAAATAGCTATAGCTCTCACTACTCAGGAGACACATATGGCCCTTCCTCCAATGACATTGCCAGTTATAGAGAGTGCCATAAACATGTACAAGACCCCTGCAAATTCTCTCCACAAACACCATACTGTGCAGCACCCAAGTGAAGGCTTTCATATAGGGACAATTTCATCCTAGATTTTCTGTTTTCCTCCACCACAAACATCCCAGTGTTTCTTACTCTCTCAATTGGTGTGGAATTTGCATAACCCCACCCACTGTCTCTCCCATAACCCTTTCCTGTTCTTTCCTATGGCACACAGCAAAGAGAGGAATTCATCAGCAAGTAGAGTGGTTTGGAGAGAATTCAGCATGGTTTATAGGATTTATAGTAATGGGATTTATAGTTCACCTGCAATCCATGAGCACAGTGAACTCCATGAAAAATAGAATTGGACCAAACTTGGCACACAGAGCCTCTATGACTGTCAAAATATACTGAAGGCCTTTGGGGGAAAATCACCTTGATTTGGGGGAGTTGTAGTTCACCTACATCCTGCTTCTTGGCAGGAGGTTGGACTGGATGGCCCACGAGGTCTCTTCCACCTCTATGATTCTAGAGAGCACTGTGAACCCAAACACCAATGGGTCTGGACCAAACTTGGCACACATACCTGATATGCTGAAATTTGATTACTGGAGGGTTTTGAGGGGAACTGACCTTCCTTTCTGGAAGTTGTAGTTCACCTACAACCAGAGAAACTTTGACTTCCACCGATGATGGACCTGGACCAAACTTGGCACACAGAACCCCCATGACTAACTCAACCTACTGGAGGGGTTTAAGGAGAGTGAATCACCATCGTGGGAGTTGTACTTTACCTTACAGCCAGAGAGCACACTGAACCCCATTGATTATGCATCTAGAGCAAACTTGCCCAACATAACAAACTTTAAGTACTGATGGAGTTTCTCAGGGTTAATCTGGCATGATGTGAGTTGTAGTTCACCCACAACCTTATGCATTTTGTACAAATTAAAAATTGACTTTTTCAGCTAACTTGGGCAATGCCAGGTACCCAAGCTATTGTAGAAATAAAATTGATTTTGTCATTCAAACAGCCTAACGGCTCTTTATGAATAACAGGGGGTCTTTGCAGTCCCTAGTTCATAGGGTCATCTTAAATCAAAGCCATGTTGGTGGCACACAACAAAAACAGCAGATATGAATAACAACCACGAACAGGAATAGCTTTTTAGTGACATAATCTTTAAAACAACCCTCAAAGGACCTGATTTCAAAAGACTTGCATTTGTGCACTGGATTTTTTTTTTTTTTTGCTTCATGATAAATTTAATTTAGCAGTTAAACACATATGCGGCAAAAGCCAAATGAAGTGTAGTATTTCAAAGCAGAAATGACTCCTTCAATAAGGTCTTTCAGCATTTTATTCCATCAACAGAAACTTGAGATGTGGATTTCAGAGTGCATACTTTTTAAAGGAAAAAATCTTTTATCTGCATACTTTGATAACTACCATAATTTTATATCAATATATTGTTGAAACAGCTAACGAAAGAGAGAATTATTTAAAGCTTATCAAACTTCTTTCTGACTATAGAACCTTTTTTAAAAAAAATAAAGATTCTCATAGCAATAAAATAGAGATTATGCTTTTTGATGAAAGAATAGCAAGAAGATTTTAATATGCTGTGTTTTTCTGAAACCCACAACTTCAAACCACTTCAGTGTTTAACTTCCTCCTACAAATAGCAAGGTTGAATAAGCACAGGAATGCTGATCT